CCTTCCTTCCTTCCTTCCTTCCTTCCTTCCTTCCTTCCTTCCTTCCTTCCTTTTTCGTTCCCCTTTATAGCCTGTCTTAAGGCTCTCTCTGAAGCCTACAGGTAGAATTACACCTTCTGTACTTTCAGCACTCTTGGACACATCTAAGGGACAATGATTCCATTTGGGGGAGGGGTGGGGAATGGGGGTGGGCTCTTTAAGGGAAAGGCCAGGTTTAAATCAGAGAATTCTGTTCTTGACCTGATATCCCTACCCTTTGATCTAAGGTTTTAATGAGGAGTTACATTGAGGCAATTACACACAAATCGATGCCTTCTATCCTTGAATTTGTTCATATCCTACCTCTGACAGTAGCGGGGTGAGCCTGGGCAAGTCACATTGTCTATATGCCTCAAGCAGCTACCAAGGACTTATCTGTGGAAGGATGGACAATTGAGATTTGGTTTGGTGGAGGAGGTTCTCAGATTAGGAGCTTCCTATGCTTGGAACCTCATAGAGTTTACCTTTGGGTATTTGGCTATTCTTAAAGAGTTACTAGTCTGGTTTGAAAGGGGGGGAAATATATGTATGAATTATACACATACACGCACATATATAATACATATACATATATACATACACATACACACACATAGACGTCAGAATCATAAGAAAGCCAAGTTTTAGCAGGTACACTAGGATGTTACACCAGAATGTTACACTAGAAATCAAATACAAATTTATTCAGTCTCGTATCATTCCCCTTCATGTAACCAGTAAATTAATCAATTGACAAACGTTTAATAAGTGCCTGCTTTGTGGCAGGCACTATTCAAGATGCGGGGTGCAAACACAGAAATGAAGTAATCCTTACCCTCAAACTCCGCTCCAGTCAAACTGGATAACCCTCTCCTCAACAGGACCTGGGCATCCCTGGCTCCTTTACTGCCTTTGATTGATGTCTAGAATGCACTCTGTACCCATTTTCAGCTGTTGAATTTTCTCCTACCTTTAGAGCCCAATTCAAATGCTACCTCTTCCAGGAAGTTTTCTTGTACTTCCTCTTCTCCAATCAGTAACCGCCTTTCCCCTGTGACATAAATAAAGTCTGTTGTTGTGTAAGTAATTAGACACATATCACAGTGCTCACATTAAGTTGGGGACTTTTTGAATGAAGTCTTCTGCTATCTTTTATGCTATTGCTATGTATTGTTAATTCTTATATTATTTCACTTTTCATGTGATTATGAGTCTTGTCTCCTCTGCTAGGTTGTAAGCTTCTTAAAGGCAGTCTTCATATTTTATACTTCTTTGAGTATATGCTGCATGAATGAAAGATGAAATGAAAGTTATTATCTGTTCCTCTCTGTGTTTCTAAGTGACCTTGGTTTGTCTTTTTGCCTTCAGGCCCCAGCATTTGTACCATGTTAATGGAAAAAGCCACCTTGAGGGAAGCTGGCAACGGATACATCCCCACTTGTGTAGAAAAGGATGGGCGTTTCTCACCAGTGCAGTGTGACCAGGATCAGGAGAGCTGCTGGTGTGTGCTCGAGAACGGTGAGGAGGTGCCAGGAACACGAGTCACTGGAGGCCCACCCTCATGTGAAAGTAAGCCATGGTCAGGACCGATCTGAGTAGGGTGTGGGACTTGGGGCTGAACCTAGGGAGGCAAAGCCTGGGACAAATCACTCTTTGCATCTCCATTGGCTCCAATACTGTTGTAAGGTGAAAGCAGGATGGTGGATTCATTCATTCATTCATTCATTCATTCATTCATTCATTCAATAACTATTTTTAAGTATTTGCTATAGACAAACCACTGCTTTGAAACAAACATCAAGGATAGATATTCAAGGGAAACTTAAGCTGGTGTATAGGGAGAAAAGGACATAAAGGATTATAACTCTGGTGGAAGATTTAGAGGATGATTTTATATCTACACATATATGCATTCACATATACAATATATATATATACATGCACACATGTGTGTATGCATTTTTATATGTAGTGTACATTGTATCTATTGCATATATTCATAAGTGTATGCATATGTATATGTGTCTAATTTATGCATTGTATTGAGTATATGTATATATATGTGTGTATGTATGCCTGCATGCAGGTATGTATATGTGTTTGCACCAATCTATCAATAAACATTTATTAAGTACTATGTCAGTCAATGTGGCATGCATGTATGTCTATATGTATGTATTTAGTATGTATGTGAGCTTCAAGTCTTTGTTAGTACGATCTGGTCAAGCTGTTACCTAACTGGCCACCTTTCTGAGTGATTGTCCTGCTACTGACAATGTCTAAAGGAGAATGCCTAAAGTGTGGGGTCTGGAGCAGTCCCCCCAATACACTGGAGCCTGAGGAAGGTTCTGCTGACTAGAGTTAAAATCCTACTTTTGGGATACAAAGAGACGAGACTCTCCTATCCAGTGCAGGAAGAAAATAGGGTATTTCCTACTATGTGTCAGGCACTGTGCTAATTGCTTTTATAAATATTATCTCATTTGATCCTCACAACAACTCTTTGAAGTAGAATGCTATTATGATCTCCATTTTACAGTTGAGGAAACTGAGGCAAACAGAAGTTAATTGACTTCCCTAGAGACAGGCATGTGGATATAAAGGAAAGATGAATGAATTAGGATCCAGGAGACCTAGGTTCTATGAGATGGATCAGAGCACAATTTCTGGGGGCTAGACCTTAGAATATAACATACAGCTGTATCATTGTTATTGATCTTTTTTGACAGCATCTTCCTTTCTAAATATAATCTTTCCCTGACAGTCTTACCCAGTGAGTTGTCCCTTATAGCCAAGAATAAAAAAGAAAGAAGAGGAAGCAGTCCAGCAAAACTAACTGTATATAACCTGAGTATACACAGCACTCCACATCAGTCTTCTAAATTTGCAAGGAAGAAAGGGAGGTTTTGCTATAACAAGCTCCTTTCTGGGTTCTAACATTCTGGATTCTAAGGTCTCTTGTAGCTCTTAAATTCTGTGTTGCTATGATTCTTTGGAAGCTTTACAAAACTTACTAGGGAGTATTATGATATGCAGAACTTTACTACTGGGAATATATCAGGAAAGCAGTGGGGTGTTGGAGCAGGAAGGTTACTTGAGGGAAAGATGTAAAAAACTGCTGAGAGAGAGAGAGAGAGAGAGAGAGAGAGAGAGAGAGAGAGAGAGAG